GCAACTGTTGCCTTGTTTACTTTTTTACGCCTGCACTACTACAACAACAAATTCCTGAAAGATATTTTCGTCCTTTTGTTACTTTTTTGCTTTATAAAATTGCAGTTTTTCACATTTTTTTTTAATTACGAGAACGCTCCGAAATGAAGGTGGCACGGTTTAAGCTGCAGTAAAGGAAACACGTTAAGAAATCACATCCTTTCCTTAAGTTGCAAACATTAAAGCTTGATGAAGAATTTCAATGCTTTTTTTTTTGAATAAATTTTAAAGTCTTAAGTATATATTATATATTTTATTTATATAATTTATAAATGTCATATCAGACATATCAGTTTCAACCACTATCTATAATCTGTGGTATAACTTGACATTATTAGAATAGATAAACAGTGCAAGCCGACTACCAGATCTGCCGTATTATCCTTAAAGAAAATCTCATAAGATAAATAGAGAAAATTAAGATTAAGATAAACGTAAGAGTTTCCTTTAGTTTAAGAATCCAAACTTTATTTAGTTTAAACCATATAGAAATATTATAAGAATAAAGATAGAGATAAGCCGGTTCCTGACAATGGAACGTGATTCGAATGGATCTTCTTAAGTATGGATACTTCGCTTTGCATTTCTCATAATTTGCTGATCTCAGTCCAAAATAGAAGTTAACCCTAAGCTGGTAATTAAATAGCTAGCAATTAATCTCAATTTTGATTTATTTCAACAGAAAAAACTGCTAGCATTTTTGATAATCCGACTAATTTTTAAGTTGGATCGGCTTATAAGTTTACAAACAGTTAATTATGGATGTTTCTAAGTACTGGTGCATTCTGAGAAATGGCTATGGTTGGCTACGATATTCTATTCGCAAGTATACCAGTTATTTTAACGAGTATTGCTTTCTGTTTACTAAAGAACGGAGGCATCTGACCAATTCTTTGGACCAATTTGTATTTAATAGCATGATCGGAGAGGGTTTTTCACTGCCTGTATATTCAAACATATATATTGATTTATATATATATATATATTAAATACATAGAAACCGTATATATAAGCACTATATATTGATATCGAACTTTGTATCTCCTTAGATATTTTGTATTATTTTGTATTATTAATAATTTTTATATCATTAAGTAAATATATTTAATTATTTGAATATATTTAATCAAATTATTAAATTGTTATGTTGATTTATTGTTATTATTAATTATTAAGGGCATAATTAATTATAGATAACTATATCATGAAGTGCCCTTCTGCCTAAGTACCTATATGAAAATTTTCTATTAGAGCGACTATTTTGTATGTCAGGGTATGAACGTGGAGTTTTAGAAGCTTATATTATTCTATTCACTTCTTTTGAGAGTTATGATATCAAAGCCTCTAGATTTTAATTGAACAAAATAAATACTATGTGCCTAATAAAAGTAAAAAGGTTATTTCGTGGAGTATTCCTTTTTAATGAAGAGATTAAGATTTTTTGGTCAAGAATTTCTCTTCTGAGTCAGTACGGGCTCATATTATATATAATATAACAATGTATCATGTATAGATTCTTTTTTAACCTAATTTTTTACATTTACCCTGACAACTTTTAGTTCACTAACTATTTTTTCAACATGAAGTACACAAAAAGCATAAGAATGTTGTAAGTATTTTTAATACCTGCAACTGTATCTCTCATGAATAACAAAAAACTATAGCAAATAAATAAATAAAAAATATTTAAATACAAATATAAAAAGTATCTCATTTAATAATTAAAAATTTAGTGATTATTAATTTAGTGAAAATATATGTATTAGTTATTTATTTGAAATTAATAGTGAATTGTAGATCCCATTATCTCGCTTTTTCATCTAATATTGATATTAGTAATGCTGGTATTATTAAGGTCTGTATTTTTCGTTTAAATAAATAATCAAAAATTTATTTATGCTATATATAAAAAAATAAAAATTTATTTTGTGAATTTTCAATATAACATTTTAATAATCCTTTTAGCAATAAAACTAGTACTCAAATTAATTAAATTACGTTTTTTACGATTTTATATATTTTCACCTAATAAATATTTAATTTTATGTATTTAATTCCTTTTTATTTTATGGTATTAAAATATTTACAATTTAAAAGCCTTGCATATAAATTACCTACAATTTACTCTCTAACAAATTGCAGATTACTTTAACTCGAAAATAATCCTTTAATGTGTTAAGTAAATAACAACAACAACAATAATGCTACCAACACAAAAAAAGGATGCAATCAAATACATAATTTATTGCTTTCGCTGGTAGCAAAACACGTTAAACATGAAATACGTTAACAACACGTATTAAATGCTCTTTCCATCACATTCAATAACCCCACAATCCTACTGGCTCGTACCACTTTTCGCACAACTTAGGTTTACCCACAAAGTGTTAGCTATTTCCTGCTCGA